TATAAAGGGTATCAAAGGTAAAGAGAGAATATAAAACTATATTAGTAGCCAAGAAAAGAGAACCCAAAAGTCTTTCATAAGCAATTGAATAGTAAAAGGACAGCAAGAAGATGGATGGAACTGATTAGGGACTATAACTATAATAGTCTTATGGAGACAGAATATATACTACATGAGCACTGTCTTCAGAGAAGTAGCTGCTAAAGTTGTAGTAAAGGAGGTGATGGTAACAACACTTGATTGATAGAAATTGAGGATGGTTTCAAAAGTCATTGAAATTTAAATGGTCACCACAGTCCTGATCAGCTGGATCATAAGTTACTGGAGGAGGCAGTGCCTTAATAAGGCAGCTCAACCACACATGTTCACGGTCAGTTAGGAATGTTTGCATTGGCAATGGCACTTTTCTCAAGAAGGAATACAAGCGGCCAGTGCCCGATTACCCATCCTAGACTTCTCCTCCCATCCATCTCTCTCTCTCACCCTTTTTAAGATGCTTCCTAAAACCTACTTCTCTACCCGAATATTTCCTTGCGTTGCTCAAAGCCACATTAGTTTTACAGCACTCCTGTGAAGCACCTTGGGTCATTTTACTAAATTGAAACTGCTACATATGTACAAGTTGCTAGGAATGGAATTTATGAAACATTCCTTATCTCTTTTGAAGGCAATATTTTCACTGAATTTCATTGCAACTTTAAATTATTATAAAAGGAGACTAAACAATAACGTTTTACCCCTTTGTTGGTAGCACATTCACTTCTCAGTCGGACAATTGTGGGTTCCCGAAACTTCAACATTTAATTTAGCTCAACACTTCAGTGCAATGCTTAGGGAATGCTACTTCATATGAGAAACTGTCTTTTGTTGACAAATTAAACTGAAGGCCCTGTCTGCAGAGAGTGGATGTGAAAGATTTCACAGCACCATTTCAATGAAGAGAGAAGTTCTATTTATTAATCTTTCATCCAACAGCACTGAAACCAACTTCCCTTTCCTTTACCACATTGCGGTGAGGGGCCTTCCTGTGGCTGAATTGGCTACTCCATTCCCTGTATTATTGACAACATTTTAAAAAGGCATATTTGGCTCTAAAATTTGCAACATGATATGGCATTACAGCAGCCTTCACAGAAGTTGAACTGGATTTGACTTCTGGTAATTTGGATTGGTTGACTTTGCCGAATTGGCTGTGGCTCCGCTTGTAACAATCTGCCTCTGAGTCCAGCAGCTGCACATGCACAAAAAACAAGGCTGACACTATGGTGTATCACAGACAATGCTGGAGAAACTCAGCAGGCCTGGTGGCATCTGTGGAGAAAGAAAACCAGCATTAACAGAGTATGTCATTCTGAAGAAATCATGTTGGACTTGAAACATTAACACTCTCTTTCTCTCTCTACAGATGCTGTCAGATCTACTGCGATTCTTCAGAATTCTACGTGTTTGTTTCAGATATCCAGCAGCCCCAGTATTTTGTTTTCAACTGAGGAAGGTACCTTTCTTTCTGATGAAATGAGGTCCCATTTACCTGTTCTGGTGGCTGTCGAAGAGTCCATGATACTATTTCCAAGAAGTACATCAGGGGAGTTATCCCTGACATTGTGGTCAGTACTTGTGCCTCAATTAAAAATCACTAAAAAGCTGAATATCTGGTTATTGTCATGTTGCTGTTTCGGGGAGACTGGGTGTGTGCACAGTTGGCTGACTGGTTTTCTGTGTTGACTACACTTCAAAAATACTTCATTGGCCATAAAAGTGCTGAGATGTCAGGGTAGTCATTAATTATATGAATGTAAGTTTTTGAAGAATTTTGGGACACACTGAGTTATGAAAGTTGTTATAAACATGCAAGTTTTCCATCTTTGGGACATGCTGAGGTTATGACAGTCATACAAGTTAGAACATCATCCTAGAATTTCTACAGTGTGGAAGCAGGCCATTTGGCCCATTGAGTCCGCACAGACCCTCCAAAGACCATCCAACCCAGGCCCAATCCCCCTATTTTCCATGGCTAATCCCTAGCCTGCACATCATGGGCAATTTAGCATGGCCAATGCACCTAACCTACACATCTTTGGACTGTGGGAGGAAACCAGAGCACCCAGAAAAAACCCACTCAGACACAGGGAGAACGTGCAAACTCCACACAGACAGTCACCTAAGAGTGGAATTGAACCCAGGTCTCTGGTTCTGTGAGGCAGCAGTGCTAACCACTAAGCCACTGTGCCACCTTGGTGCAATAAGTATATAAGTAAGTTATTCCATCCCTGACATCTGCTCCACCACTTAATAAAATCATGACTAGTCTGTTTGTGTTCGAATTCCACATTTCCACCTACCCCCAGTAACCTTTTGTTTCCCCTGCCTAACAAGAATTTATCCACCCCGCCTTAGAAATATTTAATGAGCCCATGTCCACTGACTTCTGAGGAAGAGAGTGTGCAAAGTCTCACAACTCAGAAAAAATTTTTCCTGAGCTTTGTCCAGAAAGGGTGACCCGTATTTTAAAACTGGTGTCCCATGGTTCAGGATTGACCCACAAGAGGCAACATCCTTTCCATATCCATCTTCTTGAGACTGTACAGAATATAAATTTAATCAAGTCACTCCTTGCAACTCTAAGCTCCAGTGGAAACAAGACCAGTCTGCTCAAGCTTTCTTCATAAAATAATCCACTCATTTGAGGTATCAAACCGCCTCTGAATTGTCACCAAAACATACACATCCTTTCTTAAATAAGGAGACTAAAACTGCAGACAGCATTCAAAATGTGGGAGCCTGTATCACTGAAGCATACTATGCCTACTTTTATTTTTAATTCCTCTTGTAATGCATGATAGTATCCTATTAGTCTTCTGCAGTTGTCCTCTATGTCAGTAATACTGTATGCTTTTTCATTCTCAAAATGAATAACTTCTTATTTTTCGACATCACAGGCAGTCCACTGGTTGCTAAAAGGGACAGTTCGCAAGTTGATTTGTAAACATGTCGAAACATAAGCAGGATAATATAAAGTAGCTATTTGTAAGTATAGGAAATGTTTCTGTGTCATAGAATCGTACAGTGCAAAAGAGGCCCATCAACCCATTGAGTCTCAACTGCCAAAAGTGTACTACTATCTACACTAGTCCCACTTTCCTACACTAGGCCCATAGTCTTGAATGTTACAACATTTCAAGTGCTCATCCAAGTACTTTTTAAAGGTTATGAGGTTTCCTTCCTCAACTACTCTCCCAGGAAATGCGTTTGCAATTTGTCTGTTCAGTCCTGGGGAGGGGAGGAACTAGACCTGAAATGTGCTGATGGGGTGTAACAACAAGCACATTGAGAAGAGGAAGTGGTGGTTAAACAGAGGACTCCTTTCTCCCTAAAGGAGAGGGACACACTGCATTCGTGCCATAACTCTCTCCCATTTGCTCGCTGTCCAGACAGTGTGCAATCTGTGGCAAATCGGCAGGATCCCTGATTGACAGCCGGGCCAGGCAATCAGGAAGGAGTTGGTGGCTCCTGGGCCCAGAGATACACCAATGGTGGACAGGGAGGGTTGGCTGGGAGTGAAAATGTTTCTTCTTCAAATCCCCTCTAAATCTCCTGCCTTTCACTTTAAAACTATGCCCCCTTGTTATTGAACCTTCGACTAAGGGGAACACTATTCACCCTGTCCATTCCCGTCATAATCTTATTTGCCTCTATCAGGTCCACCCCTCAACCTTCTCTGCTCCAAAGAAAAAAAGCTCAAGCTTATCCAGCCCTGGTGACCCTTCTTCAAAACTGAAGACTGAAGATTTTGTTCTAAAGCAGGATCATTAGGCCTGAAACGTCAACTCTTCTTTCTCTCCACTGATGCTGCCAGATCCTACTGAGCTTTTCTAGCAGGTTCTGTTTTTGTTTCTGATTTCCAACATTTGCAGTTTTTTTTTCATTTAACATCTTGGTGAATCTCCTTTGCACCCTTAGCAGTGTAATCACATCCTTCCTATGGTATGGTGACCGGATCTGCCACAGAACTCCAGCTGTGGCCTAACCAAACTCCTGTACAGCTCTAACGTGACCTTCCTGCTTTTGCAATCTATGCCAGCACTAATAAAGACAAATGTCCTGCATGCCTTAACCACCCTAATAACCTATCCTGCCCCCTTCAGGGATCTGTGGGCAAGCATCCCTTTGCTTGAATTACACCCCTGTATGTGAGTATAAACATATATTTGTTAGTATAAAGGAATATATGAGTACAGTGAAGAGCGTACAAAGTTGCTATTCTCCGCGTTGTATTGGTTACAAAATCAGATTTTTAAAAGTTTTTTTTTTCTCTGAAAAAGAGCCAGCAGATAAGAAAATGTCCAGATCTTAAAGTCCAAAGTCTTATCTCCATAAAGCTGTTTGGATAGAGACAGACTGAGTGTGTGGCCAATATTCTGGCAAATGGAGTATGAGGGTCCCCAGCGTTACGTTTGTACTCTCACACAGGGGTGTAATTGGATCAGAAGGATCTTAGGTTGCTTGTCTACAGCCCTATGCTTGAGTACACATGACAATGAAATCTAATTCTAATTCTAATTTGCGAACTCTTATGTTTTGTTCACCAGTTTCTTATCTATTTATGTGCTTTCTGCGGATTTAGCACTCATGCCTTAAAGTCCGCCCTTTGAAGAGCTTTGAGATGTACTGAGGTCGTCCAGTAGCTGTAAAAACGCAAGGGCTTCTTTGATTTCCCTTGCCGGAGGGCCCTCCCATACTGGCCGGGGTGGGGTGGTGGGGAGAGGAACAACCACTGGTTGGGGAAGTTGTTTTGGGGGCGGGGGGGGGGGGATAAGGGGAAGACGCTGCTATCGGCTCGCAGCCCGGCCTGAAAACTGCTACAGTCAGGGCCCGCCGCCGATTGGCTGTAGGGGCAGGGGGCGGTGCCAGGGCCATTGTCCTAATCGCCGGCCCATTGGGTGGAACACAAAGAAGGCGGGGTCTGAGCCGGACCCCGCGGCACTGATTGGCCGGGCCCGGCCTCACCCGGAAGCGCGCTGCTGGTTTGAGGGTGCGCTCCGGTAAAAGAGAACAGAAGGAGGCGGTGTAACCGGAGCCTGGCGGTGCGGTGGGGTGGGGGGAAGCTGGCAGCTGCAGCCCGGCTCGGGGGAAAGGCAGACAGGAGAGCAACATGTCTTTCCAGGAGTGCTGGGAGGAGTGGGAGGCCCTGGACAAAGATTATCAGCTGTTACAGGTAGTGGTGATCGTGCGGCCGGCCTTACCAGCTTTCCCTTCCCATTCCGCCGCTGCTGTCAGGTCCCTGCCCCTGCCCCAACCTGCAGCCCCAGTCCCAACCCTCCCTGTCCATCATTGGTGTATCTCTGGGCCCAGGAGCCACCAACTCCTTCCTGATTGCCCGGCCCGGCTGTCAGTCAGAGATCCTGCCGATTTGCCACAGATTGCACGCTGTCCGGACAGCGAGCAAACGGGAGAGAGTTATCCCGTGTGCAAATGCAACGTGTCCCTCTCCTTTAGGGAGAAAGGAGTCCTCTGATTAACCACCTCTTCCTGTTCTCAATGTGTTTGTTGTTTCACCCCATCTGCGCATTTCAGGTCTAGTCCCTCCCCTCCCCAGGACTGAACAGTCCTATTGCAAAATTACACTGTCACCGGGATCTCGACTTTTACTGTGCTTAATTACTTGAAAGCTGTTAAGTGTCGTTGCAGAACTGGTTTAAATCTTCATACTTATTTTGTTTGATTGCTGGTGTATTTCTGTGGTGTTGACTAGATAAGATTGGTTGGGAGTGGATGGTTTGGAGTGAGTGACCATAATGTAAACGATATTCCAAGTGTCAGATAAAATATCTCTTTATATACGGGGACAATCTACAGATGTAAGGAAGCAAGAAGGATTCTTATCATTGCTGTAGCAGAGTGAAACTCGTTAAGACGCAGATCTGAAAGTAATGACAATCTGTCTGATTTTTTTTTTCTTAAACATCTCATCCGTACTGTGAAATGCAGTTGTTACTTATGCAAATCTGGCAAACATTTAGAGTTCAACATTCGACCCTTCAAATATCTATCAGCAAAATTAACACTGAATGTGTTCTTTGATATTTGTTGCGAAAAGAGTATGGGAAGGGCTACCAAACTATCTGATTCCAACGACCTATGGCATAAACTCACAACCCTGAGTAGACATCCAGCCTTGAATTGAGGTGACGGTGGTGGGCAGGTGGTACAAGTATCAAATATTTAAATACCCATTAGGTTACTCCCCTTAAGCTAATTAGTGCCATGACAAAATTAGAGTTAGAATAGCGATAGAATTTGTTCTCCAAACACATGAAACTGTTCAGCATAGGACCGAGTAGACATCTTAAAGAAAAGAATGATCAAGATTATGATTTGGAGGCCATTGTTGAATGGGCGGGGCCAGCTCAAGGCTTTTGGTGCCTTAGTGAACTGTGACTTTGGTGATGCCTACCATCACATTCAAATGTTCTGTGCCCCAGCTGATGTTATTACTGGACAAGGCAAAGCCCAGACCTCGTTTGATAGATCATGTTTTGTTTTCATGATTTTAACAAGATCTCTTGCTGAAACATAATCTGCAGGATATTATGCTTTCAACAATAAAACAAAGCTTATTAACCAAAAGAAATGAATATAAAATAAGTCATTTATTTATGTAAATTACAAATTGAAAGATTGTGATTGATTGCTTTTATTGTCATGTGTATCGAAATACCGTGGAAAGCTCGGTTTACAAGCGGTACAAGCAGATCACAGCAAGCAAATGATGTAAAATCAAAAAGACTTAAAGGCATACAGGTTACATTGATTTATAACCACATGGTAAAAAGATAATCCCATTAATCTCAAAACACCATTTTACACGTTCATCAAAATAACCTTATACAATACCCATTAAGGCACCTTGTATGGTGCTCACACCACAGAAAAATATCTTTTCCTAACACCTTACTAGGCTTAAGGTAACTATGCCAATAATTCCACAGAGGCTAGTATCCCATCACCAAGTCACCCTTTATTTACACTGAACAGTACTTGACACTGATCTGGCTTCCTTGGAGGCCGCTCTGAGTGAACAGAACCTCTGATGACCTGTTTATATCTGTCAGCCAAAGCTCCCTGATTGGATCAGATTAACAGCCATAATCAGGGAACTCATATTCTGTGATGTCCACCTGGCTGACCTCACTCCAATCACTACATCCCTCCCCCCTCTGAGTCCAGTTATGTAGGCCGGTTCATTTTCTTGTAACCTCACCTGGGGCGTTTTCACACTGGGGCCAGTTCCTCTAACTCAGCTTTGGAAAAAGGCAGCGTGTACCAAACTGTATGCTGCTTCTTGCATCCAGAGCATCTCAGAAGAAATCCATCCTCTTCTTCAGGTGCCAAAGGTTTTGAGGCTGCGACATCCACCATGTCCATCTCAGACTCTGAGGTTTCTTTGACGCTAGACGAAGGGGGAGAACCTACAGATTCCAACAACCTTCCCAGCTGTTTGAAGGGGCTGGAAATGTTTTGTTCCTGCCCCATTTGGGAGTTTTCAGCTTTCATATGGTCCACATGCTTGTTCAGGGCTGCCTCACTTACTCGAACCTTGTACGTCATAGGACCTGACCTCGCGTTACCCATGCAGGGCCATTCCTGTGGTTTGGGCACTGAACTTCGTCCCCTGAAGTAAACTGTCTCTCTGGTTTAGAGGACCCCTGTGTCTGGCATTGGTGTTCCTGATGCAGTTTTGCCACCACCCCACCCAAGGTCTGGGAAGATCAGGTTTAACCTGGTGTGGAATCTTCTCCCCGTTAGCAACTCTGCTGGAGCTATCGTTGTAGTTGCTTAAGGAGTGGTCCAATAATTAAATAGGAACTGGGACAGTTTGGTATCGAGTGAGGTTGTACATTTTTTTTGAAGCCTGCCTTCAAACTTTGGACTGCTCAGACCACCAGACCATTGGACAATGGATGGTATGGAGCTGTCTTTAAATGTCAAATTCCATTCAACTTTGGAAAATACTCCAAATTCCCTGGCTGGTAAATGATGGCCCGTTGTCCATGACCAACACTTTTGGGAGTCTGTGTATTGCGAAAGATGTTCACAGCTTTACTATTGTCATCCCCATGTTTGAAGAATGAACTTTATGCACATCCAACCACTTTGAGTGGGCATCCACAACGTCTAAAAACAGGGAGCTCATGGAAGGAGTGGTATAGTTAACATGTAATCAAGCCCAGGGTTTACCCAGCCATTCCCAGGAATGTGAAGGAGCTGCTGGCGATAATTTTTGTCCTTGTTGACACTCTGGGCACTGCCCACCAATACATCCAATCCTGGCCACCAGACATAACTTCTTGCCAACATCTTCATTTTGGATACCTGTGGATGACCCTGGTGGAGTTCAGCCGGTATGTGGTGATGACCTTTTCTCAGGACAATCAATCTTACTTCCCCATAATAATATGCCATACTCTACTGTGATCTGGTCTCGCTGGGTCCAGAAAGGTTTCATTTCTGGTTGTGAAATATTTCCCTCTCTCACCGCCGGCTGTTTTGGTTTTGCCAGGATTGAATCTTTTTGTGTCCGCAGTCTGATTATTGTGAGCAGTGACAAGAATGGGGTCTAGAAAGTTTAAAATCAGAGTGGACTGTTCCAGTGGTAGCACCACCGGTGGTGTATCTGCCAGTGGGAGCTGGCTCAATGCGTTCGCACTTATCACTTGGCCTCCCGGACTTGTAATCGTATGCATTGAGAATAAGGGCCCACTGCTCAATTTGACCTGAACGTATGGATGGCACTACCTTGTCCTGTTTAAGTAGCCCTGGCAGGGGTTCGTGGTCTGTTACTATTGTAAATTTACATCTGTAAATGTATTGTTGGAACTTTGTCACACCAAAGATGACCGCCAAACCTTCCTTCTCTATCTGGGCTTATCTCCGTTCAGCATCATCCAAAGTCCAGGAAGCGTATGCGACAGGACGCTCCTCTCCATTGGGCCACCAGTGAGCCAACGCTACTCCGATACCATACGGGGAGGCATCGCATGTCAGCACAACCTCTCACTTCGGATTGTAGGGGGCCAGCACCTTAGATGACGATGGCTGCTTCTTCACTCCCCTAAAAGCTAAATCTTGGCTACGCGACCGTTTACAAGGATGACCCTCTTTCAATTGCAAATGTAAGGGTGCCAGGATAGAGGCCAGGTTACGTATGGATTTTCTGTAATAATTCACCGACCCGAGGAAAGACCTAAGCTTTGTTATAGATGTGGGAGCCAGGACACCTTTCATTGCCCTCACTTTATCTTCCAACGGGTGTAACCTGGTCTTGTCACCTCTGTAGCCCAAATAGGTCACTTGGGGTGCCTGGAATACACATTTTTCCCTCCTAAGGCCTACCACCACCTTGGAGAAATGTTTAAGCACTACATCCACATTCTCTAAATGTTCTTTATTGGTCTTCCTGGTTGTTAGCACATCAGCCAAATAAATGGCGACCTGGGGTAGACCTTATAAAATGTTCTCCGTTGTCCTGCTGAAAAATTGCACAGGCTGATGATACCCCGGAAGGCAGTCTCATATATTGGTAGGAACTCGTATGGGTATTAATTCTAGCATACCTCTGGGAATCCTTATCTTACCATAATTGCAGGTGTGCATGGCTCATGTCCAGCTTCATGAAGGACAGTCTCCCCTGCCAGCTTTGCATATAAATCCTCTATCTGAGGGATTGGATAATTGTCCAGCTGTGAGAAGCAGTTTACCGTTTGTATGAAATCCCCACAAAGGCGGACTGAGCCGTCAGGCTTCACAATCGGTACACTCGTTCTGCAAACTGGACTGGTTTGATGGTTCCTTCGCTTTCCAGTCCCCTGATTTCTGCCTCTATTTTTGAACATAAGGCAAATGGCACCGGGTGGGCCTTGCAGAATCATGGAATTGCTTTCTGGTCAACATGCAAGGTGGCTTTGGCTCCTTTTGATAGTCCCTAGACCTTCCTGAAAAACATCCGGGTATTTAATTAGGACCAAAAGGCCATAAGACATAGGAGCAGAAATAAGGCCATTCAGCCCATCGAGTCTGTTCTGCCTTTCAATCATGGCTGATAAGTTTCTCAATCCCATTCTCCCTCTTTCTCCCTGTAACCCTTAGTTCCTTTGACAATCAAGAACCGACCTATCTGAGGAAGGGTCACCAGACCCGAAATGTTAACTCTGTTTTCTCCTTCACTGATGCTGCCAGACCTGCTGAGCTTTTCCAGCAACTTTGTTTTTGTTCCTGATTTACAGCAGCCGCAGTTCTTTTGGTTTTTACCTATCTATCTCCGTCTTAAATATATTCAATGACCTGGCCTCTATAGATTCCATAGATTCACCACTCTGTGGTTGAAGAAGTTCCTCCTTATCTCTGTTCTAAAAGATCTTGTCTTTGCTCTAAGGCTGTGCCCTCGGTTCCTAGTCTCTCCTACCATTGGAAATGTCTTCCCAACATCCACTCTGTCCAGGCCATTCAGTATTCTGTAAGTTTCAATTAGATCCCCCCTCATCCTTCTAAACTCCATCAAGTATAGACCCAAAGTCCTCAAACATTCCTCATATGTTAAGCTTTTCATTCCTGGGACCATTCTTGTGAACCTCCTCTGAACATGCTCTGGGGCCAGTACATCTTTCCTGAGATATGGGGCCCAAAACTGCGCACAATACTCCAAATGTGGCCTGACCAGAGCCTTATAGAGCCTCCGAAGTACATCCCTGCTTTTACGTTCAAGCCATCTGAAAATAAATGCCAAAGTTGCATTTGCCTTCCTAACTGCTGACTCAACCTGCAAGTTTACCTTGAGAGAATCCTGGACTAGAACTCCCAAGTCTCTTTGCACTTCAGACTTCTGAATTTTCTCCCCATTTCGAAAATAGTCCATGCTTTTATTCTTCTTACCAAAGTGCATGACCTCGCACTTTCCCACATTGTACTCCATCTGCCACTTCTTTGTCCATTCTCCTAACCTGTCCAAATCCTTCTGCAGCCTCGCCACCTCCTCAATACTATCTGTCCTTCCACCTATCTTTGTATCATCTGCAAACTTAGCCAGATTTAATTTCATTTCTTACTAATAAGGCAAAACCACACCATCTGCCCACCTGCCTATCTTTTCGATTAGATGTATATCCTTGAATATTCAGCTCCCAATCCTGATCCCCTTGCAGCCATGTCTCTGTGATGCCTACCACGTCATATCTACCAATTTCGATCTGCACCTCAGGCAGCCATTGCCTAACCGAAAAATGTCGAGTCAATCAAATTGAATCTTTCTCACTCAATTTTGCCCCATCAATTTTGGGCCCGAGCCTTTTACCACAGTCAGTGGTAACTGAGCCAGCTGCTTCTCATAAGAGACCGGAACAGAAGTTGTACCATTAATCTGTAAAGGTTCCCTGGAGTAGATTCTCAGTCTAGTCAAGGTCTTGTGCAAACCTAAGGGTTGGAGTCCAGAGTGAATTTTGGTAAAGACTGGCTCTGTAATCAGTGATACAGCCACTCCAGTATCGACCTTCATTAGTACTGGGTAACTGTTTAACCAGGCATTAGTTTTAGTTCTGATTTGGATGGTGCTGAGCAATTTAACTGTTCCAGATGTAGGTGGACTTTCCAGGGTGTGTATTCTCCAGGATACTGGCCTATGAGTTCTCTTACTCAGTTTGGGCCAACTGGGACTCTTGCTGCTTTGAGTCTGCATTCCGACAGCAACTACAATGGCTTGCCAGCCAGGATCCTCAAGAAAATTTTAACTATTTGGCCAAGGCTTGGCTTTGTTTTGGGGTTTTGCAGTGGGCTGACCTAGAGTCCCTCTGTTTCGGATATGTCCTGAGTGAGGCTCTGCAATTACCTTCACTCATGTGGTGTTCCCCAAGCTCAGTCGGCCTGGCAAGGGGGTCCTCTTCCGTCAGAACACCCTGTAACTCATAAGCTCCACTTGCCACATTTTCTAACGATAAAGCCAGTTGTAGTGCCCGTTTTGAAGTCCAGTTGGGTTTCAGCCAACAGGTGCTTCTGCATGGTCACATCACTAATCCCATATACCCCCGATGATTTTATAAACCTCTATAAGGTCACCCCTCAGCCTCCGATGCTCTGGGAGTAAAAGCCCCAGCTTATTCAGCCTCTCCCTATACCCTAAACCCTCCAACCCTGGCAACATCCTTGTAAATCTTTTCTGCACCCTTTCAAATTTAACAACATCATTGTTAAAGTCAAAGATGCTGAAGCATCAATATTCCAAATGTCCTGTCTGTATCCCTGAAACCACTCAAACATTATCTGCACTGTTCCCCTCTGATATTAAGCCTATTGGCTTTATTTCATTGGCTTTGAAGTGCTTTGGGATGTCCTGAGGATTTGAAAGACACTATACAAATGCAAGTTCCTTTTGGATTCCATTTTTTCTTTCTCTCCTTTTCTCGCACCATTTCTCCTTCCCTGAACTGGGAAAGAAAATTCAACGTGGCTTCATCTTGTTCTCTCCCCTGTTGAAAGATCTAGTTTTATGGTTGGTACTAGTCTGAGCCGTGGATTTAGTTGCTGTCTGGTCTGGGTGTGTCACTGCGGGGGACCAAAAAAGCTGAGAGTTTGCAGATCTTGTGCATTTGAACAAAATCCAACAACAGTGTGCATTTATATAGCACTTGCAATAAGCTGAAATATCCCGAGTGAAGCATTTTCAAACACAAAGCGACATAAAGAAATATTAGGATCAGTGACCAAGATGTTAGCCAACAACATAGGTTTTAAGGAATGTCAAAAGGAGGAGAGTGAGGTGGGTATGTTTAAGGAGGTACTTCCAGAGCTAGGGACCTGGGCATTTGATGATCTCCACTGATAAGATGAATCATAGAACAGAATGGAATCCCTGCAGTTTGGAAGCAGGCCATTCAGCCCATCGAGCCCACACAGTCCAAAGAGCATCCCACCCAGACCTACTCCTTTAGCCTATCCCTGTATCCTTGCATTTCCCATGACTAACCCATCTAACCTGCACATCTCTGGACACTATGGGCAATTTAGCATAGCCAGTCCACCTAACCTGCGCATCTTTGGACTGTGGGAGTAAACCCACGCAGACACGGGGAGAATTGTAAACTCCACACAGACGGTTGCCCAAGGGTGGAATTGAACCTGTGTCTCTGGTTTTGTGAGGCAGCAGTGCTAAACACTGAGCCACCATGCCATCCCCTTTGGGCTGAATTTTCATCCTCCGGCCGGATTGTGAGAGTGAATATACTCCTAATCAATCCAGTCTCGCCTCATACATCAGTCATGCCATGCCAGGAATCAATTAGGAATTAGAGGAGCATAGAAAACATGAAGGTTTGTAAGCATGTTCAGCCTCTGTAATAATTACTAATCTCCAGGTCAAAGTGAAGTTGAGTGCATCCTGAAATTTCTACATTTGATTCCACATAGTATTTAACTTTCTCTGGTCTCTTCTCCAGGAAACACACAAACACTACAAGCAGCAGTTGGAAGAGGTGATCAAACTTCAGAATGCCTGCCTCAGTTCCATCGAACGACAGAAGAAGAAATACAAGGAACTCTCCAAAAGTCTTGAACAGTAAATATTACTTTCTATAGACCAGGCTGTTGAATTTGGTTCTGAAGTGTTTGCACTCTGTAAACGTATTCAAACTGTAATATTGAATTCTTTATCCGATGGGGCAAAAGGGAGAGAAGGAAAAATAAAAGCAAAAATGAATAAATACAAAAAGTGCTGAGAATACTCAGCAGGTTGGGAAGCCACCGTGGAGACAGAAATTAATGTTTCAGGTTGATGACCGTTCATTGGGATTGGGAAAAGTTAGAAACAAGTTTAAAGCAAGTGAAAGGGTTGGCCAGGGGGAATAACGGAAGGGAAGGTATGTGGAATACAGAGAGGTTAAATGATGACAGGATTGCTGGGGCAAGATTGAGGGGGAGTAATCGCAGGGCAAGGAAAGAAACAAAAGGTGTGGCGCGAGATGGTGTGAATGGCAGAATAGACTGACTTCTGAATGTAAGACCAAAACCTGCAGAAGAAGGAGCCAGCAGAAAGAACTTACAGTTTGTAGTTTGCAGTTTGGAATCATTTGTTCTAATGTAGGAAATCAGAGCAGGCAGCTCCGTCGTTGTTTGAGGAATAAACCATGGTCAGGCCAGTGCAAGGCCTTTGGAATTACTTTTTTAATCATCCCTGGGATGTGAGTGACACTGGCTGGCCTGCATTTGTTGTCCCTCTCTAACAGCCCTGTTGAGGTTGTGCTTAGCAGTTTTCTCGAATTACTGCAATTATTGGATGTAGGGACATCACCCACAGTGCTGGATTCTAGGATTTTTACCCAGCGATGGTGAAGGAATGGTGATAGATTTCTACTTTAGCATGGTGTGTGACTTGATGGTATTGCCATATATCTGCTGCTCTTGTCCCTCTTGATGGTAGAGGCTGCAGGTTTTGGAAGGTGCTGTTGCAGGAGGCTTGAGAATTGCTGCATTGCATTTTGTCGGTGGTACACACTGCTGCCAACATATCAGTCGTGATGGGATTGTGAGATATTGTATTATGATTCTATTTGCCAACTCACTCACAAGCACATTATGTTTACTATACCGCATTTCCATTTACTCATTCATAAAACTGCATTGAACAAAATTAATATCCCTTCCAACCCATTACTGCTTCTTTACACCTTTTAATTCTTATCGACTCCATATTGCAAGCAGCGTTTATACCTGTTTCTTTATCGAAGGCTACTCCTGAATAAGTGTTAATACTGTAACCTACTCAGAATAATGCCATCCCCATCATCATGTCTCTATAACTCACTTAAAACTATGGAAAGATTATAATATTAATCAGCCCTTAGCAACTGCCTCTCGGGACCTAAATAGGTTGCAGAATATCTAACAGTTTCCTCCACAAGTATGTAGTTTTTAAATACATATTAAATAGGGCTACTACCCCTTTAAAGAAACTTACTATAAAAACAGCGCTTCCATGAAACTGCATGAATGAATGTGTACGAACTACCAAAACCGACAATTGTAAATAAAATCTCACAACCCAGTTGCAGGAGATCAGTTTAATATCTCTATACTTTTATTTAGTACACATTTAATTTTTCACGTATTTAGAAGATATAGGTCTAGTATTTTTACTAACGTTACTAACTTTAAAGACAAAAGGACTAACCCCTGTTACTTATGCAAGTTCAGACCAGACAGACCGTCTAATCCCATCAGGAGGAACACCCAGCATTTAGCAAGTGCTTAAACAAACTCCTGCTTCCCCAGGACAGATGTCACACAAACCTGTGTACAATAGATACAACTACATGACACCATAGTGCTAATGTTTCAATGTATGTGAAAAATGTGTATAAAGAGATTACTGTAAACCTGTACTTTGGATTTCATTACCGCCTTGAACTGTGCCACTGTGGATGCTCAATAAAGAGGTTTTTTTCGCCACTCACCCATCTCAGTCATTATTGAACATGATCCCACAGGATTGAACGTTTAAAGTGATGGGTGGGGTGCTGATCAAATGGGCTGCTTTGTCCTGGTTGGTGGTGAACTTCTTGAGTGTTGTTGGAGCTGCACCCATCAGGCAAGTGGGGAATATTCCATCACACTCCTGACTTGTGTCTTGTTAATTGTAGGCAGATTTTGGGAAGTCAGGAGGTGAGTTACTCATTGCAGAATTCCTACCATCTGACCTGCTGGTAGAATTGCTGTATTAACTGGTCCAGTTCAGTTTGTGGTCAGTGGCAGCTCCCAGGATGTCGATGGACAAGTCGAGTTATAGAGTCCTAGAGCTAAGCAGCACAGAAATAGACCCTTCGATTCAACTCGTCCATGCTGATCAGACATTCCAATCTGACTTAGTCCCATTTGTCAGCATTTGGCCCATATCCCTCTAAAGCCTTCCTGTTCATATACTCATCCAGGTGCCTTTTAAATGTTGTCATTGTACCAGCCTCCACCACTTCCTCTGGCACCCCCTGTGTGAAAAAGTTACCCCTCAGGTCCATTTTAAATCTTTTCCCTCTCACTGTAAACCTATGCCCTCTGATTTTGGACAACCCCATAGTAGGAAAAAGACCCTGCTTATTCACCTTATCCATGCCCCTCATGATTTTATAAACATCTATAAGGTCATCCCTCAGCCTCCAACATTCCAGGAGGAAAAATCCCCCAGTCTATTCAGCCTCTCCCTATAGCTGAAACCCTCCAGGCTCAGCAATGTCCTTGTATATCTTTTCTGCACCCTCAAGTTTAACAACATCTTTGCTATAGCAGGGAGACCAGAGTTGAATGCAGTATTCCAAAAGTGGCCTAACCAATGTCCCATACACCTGCAACATGACCTCCCAACTCCTATACTCAATAGCTTGACCAATAAAGGCAGGCGTGCCAAACACCTTCATCATTACCCTGTCTACCTGAGACTCCACTTTCAAGGAACAATGCAGCTGCACCCCTAGGTCCCTTTGTTTGGCAACACTCCCCAGGGCCCTACAATTGAGAGGTGAAATGTTGGTATTGACCATTTATTCAGGCCTGGAATGCGGGCTTGAATCTTTGTTGACTCAGCAGTGAGAGGGAGCCGGCTGAGTGAAGTTTGTTTGCTCCTACAGTTCGGTGATGTTACATCCTGATCTGGTTTCTCCCCTCCTAGATGTCAGTTGCCAGAGAGCGAAGAGCAGTGGAGAGACATTGGTTTCATCCAGGGACTGATGAAGGAAAGACAAAACATCTTCTTTGAAATGGAAGCTTTCCTCCCAAAAAAAAATGGGTAAGTGCTTCGAGTGACCCTGTCTACTTAAATCCTTTGAGTGCTAAAGCAGCTTCGTTTGTAAAAGATTGACTTGGCTGTGCCTATTCATGCGCATGTTCAAATACTAGGCTTTTGATAGATCGGGAATCTCTTCTTTAAAGCAAATTATAAAGCAAGTTCTAGCTTGTCGCCAGTGTCGTTCATCAATGGCCATTAATATGTAGTTTTTCCACGTGTATTATTTAGAGAGTCATATAGCATGGAAACAGACTCTTGGGTCATTTTCCTTGGGCAATTTCCTAGCGGAGTTTTAATTATTCCTACATTTAATGGTTGAAGGCTCGATATTTTGTCAGCGTAAAAGATTCTCCGGCACAAGACCTAGGAACAGAACGAGGCCCAACCCCACTGCCCCTCCTTGTGTCCTTTGATTCCTCAAGAGACTGACAATGTATCTGTTCCAGCCTTAAGTACATTCACTGATGGAGCATCCACAATTATCTGGGTTAGAGACTTCCAAACATTCACAATCCTCTGACTGAGGCCATTCCTCCTCCCGTCTGTCCAAAAGGATTGACCCACATTGTCGGACTGTCTCTTCCCACCCCAAACCGATGTTTGCTGCTCAGCAGAAACCATTTCTGTGTCTAACCCCACTGAGCCCTTTCAGAATCTTTCAATGAGATCACCTCTCATTCTTCCCAACTCCAGAGAATATTGGTCCAATTTAATCTCACCACAGGACCTTCCAGGGACAAATCTGGTAAACCTTTTGCTGAACTGCTGTGAAGCCAGTTGGGTTGAGTGGTGTCTACTCAGCTGCTCGAGCAGCTACATTTATTGGTGTGCATCTTGCAAGCATTTTACTCACACATTGGTTTGAAAGCTGACACAATTGACACAATTTGTTGCCCTTAAATGGGCCTTGATTTGTGCTCGAACCTCAGGAAGGACAATGATTCTCCTCCTTCTGTTACAGGCTGTACTTGAGTCTGGTTCTGGGAAATGTCAATGTGACCCTGCTCAGCAAACAGGCCAAGTAAGTATTGACTGGGCCCCCTCCTGGACTCTGATGGGTAGAGTTCTCCTTAAGTCTTCCATGTGACCTTGTCCATTTTCTCCGTACTGCAGGTTTGCCTACAAGGATGAATATGAGAAATTCAAGCTATGTCTTACCATCATCCTCCTCCTCATCTCCTTCAGCTGCAGATTCTTGTTAAACTCCAGGTGAGAAGTTGGTTGGTAAATGCAGTAACAGTACGACTGGGAGAGTGGCCCCTTCTCAATACCCCTCCTCCCTAGCCCCTGGGCAGGTAACAGATATGCTCCATTCGGTACAGAGGACGATAGCCCCAACAGGATACCTTATCTGAGGCCAGTGCCATTGGAGAGGTCAGGAGTGTATCTGATTTTCCAGATACCTTAGCGTGCTCACTGACATTTGACATTTTGACCAGACCATGGGGAGGCAATGGCCTAGTGGTATTATCGATAGACTTTTAATCTAGAAACTTGGCTAATGTTCTGGAGACCCAGGTTCGAATCCTGCCACGGCAGATGATGGAATTTAGATTCAATAAAGAATCTGGAATTGAGTTTAATGATGACCGTGAAACCATTGTCGATTGTCGGGGAAAAACAAAACCATGTGGTTCACTAATGTCCTTCAGGGAAGGAAATCTGCCATCCTTACCTGGTCTGGCTTATATTTGACTCAGGCCCACAGCAATGTGGTTGACAGTTAACTGCCATATGGGCTAGCCAGTGACGCCCACATCCCATGAGTGAATTTAAAACAAAAGACTTTTGACAACTAGCTCCTGACAAGAAACACTAAGAAATTTTTCATATTTCTATGATATTGGAGCACTTGCATACACTTTCAGTCGACAGCAGCTTTGGTTGGTGTACAAGTCCCGTAGGTGCCAACTGAGGGTCATAGGTTCAAGTCCCACTACAGCAACCTAAGGCATATAAGCCAAGTTCACCACTCCAGCGCAGCACTGAGGGAGTGCTGCGCTGCTGGAGGCAATGCCTTTTGGATGAAGCATTAGACCGAGTCCTTCAGGTGGACATTAAAAGTCCCACAGCACTACTTTGAAGAAGAGTTTCACCCGGTCTCCAGATATTTTTCTTTCATTTTTGTCTCTGAACCAACATCGCTGGTTATTCTCACATTGCTGTGTATGGGACCTGGCTGTCTGCAAATTGGTTGCTGCATTTCCTTTGTTATCCAGTACATTAATTGTCTCTTAAGTGTGTGTTATGATGTCTTCAGGTTGTGATCAATATGGCAGAAATGCATTTTCTTTCTGAATGGGGGTTTACCTGTTGGTGAGATTAGAATTGATGATTGGAAATGATTTATGGGCTGGAATCAGTTTGAGTTTCTCTGCTAGAGCTAGAAGTGCCAAATGATGATCCATCTCAGGTATACCTGAAGATGAGGTGTCAACCTGGTGAAGCCACCAAACAGGACTATTTGCACGCCATACAGCGAAAGCAGCAAGTGATAGACAGAGCTAAGCAATCCCACAACTAACAGATCAGATCTAAGCTCTGCAGTCCTGCCACATCCACTTGTGAATGGTGGTGGACAATTAAACAACTCACTGGAGGAGGAGGCTCCACAAATATCCCCATCCTCAATGATGGAAGAGACCAGCATATCAGTGCAAAAGATAAGACTGAAGCATTCGCAGCAATCTTCAGCCAGAAATGCCAAGTGGACGATCCACCGTGACTTCCTCCAGTGGTCCCCAGCATTACAGATACCAGTCTTCAGCCAATTGGACTCGCTCCACGTGATATCAAGAAATGGTTGGAGACACTGGATACTGCAAAGGCTATGGGCCCTGACAACATTCCGGCAATAGTACTGAAGTACTGTGCTCCAGTACTTGCTGCTTCCCTAGCCAAACTGTTCTAGTACAGTTACAACACTGGTATCTACCCGACAATGTGGAAAATTGCCCAATTATGTCCTGTACACAAAAAGCAAGACAAATCTAACCCGGCCAATTACCGCCCCATCAGTCTACTCTCAATCACCAGTAAAGTGATGGAAGGTGTCATCAACAAGCAGCACCTGCTCAGAAATAACCTGCTCAGTGACGCCCAGTTTGGGTTCTGCCAGGTCCACTCAGCTCCTGACCTCATTACAGCCTTGGTTCAAACATGGACAAAAGAGCTAAATCCCAGAGGTGAGGTGAAAGTGACCGCCCTTAACATTAAAGCTGCATTTGACCAAATGAGGTATCGAGGAGCTCGAGCAAAACTGGAATCAATAGGTATTGGGGGAAAGCCAGAAGTCATACCTGGCACATAGTTTGATGGTTGTGGTTGTTGGAGGTCAGCCATCGCAGCTCCAGGACATCTCTGCAGGAGTTCCTCAGGATAGTGGCCTAGGCCCAACCATCTTCAGCTGCTTCATCAATGACCTTCCATCCGTCATAAGGTCAGAAGTGGGGTTGTTGGCTGATGATTGCACAACGTTCAGCACCGTCTGTGACTCCTCAGATACTGAAGCAGTCTGTGTTCAAACGCAACAAGATCTGGACAATATCCAGGCTTGGGCTGACAATTGGTGAGTGACATTCGTGCCACACAAATACCAGGCAATGACCATCACCAATAAGAGACAATCTAACCACCACCCCTTAACATTCAATGGTGTTACCATCATTGAATCCCCCACTATCAAAATCCTCGGGGTTACCATTGACCAGAAACTGAATGGGACTCATAGAGTCATAGAGGTATACAGCAAGGAAATACACCCTTTGGTCCAAAGCATCCATGCCGACCAGATATCCAACATAAATCTAGTCCTGTTTGTCAGGATTTGGCGCATATCCCTCTTAACCATTCTTATTCATATACCCTCCGGATGCCTTTTAAATGTTGTAATTGTAAAAGTGGACAAAAAAGGGTAATACATGCTTTGAGGCACAGGGCAGCGATAGAACATTTTGACTACGTTGTATCGGTGTATTACTGAGGAGGATGATCCTGACAAAATATCGGTAGAAGTGGAGATGGTAATGATGGGTAGAAAATTGACAGGCAGGACATACCGGTAAATCGCCTGGTCAAGATGGCTTGTATCTCCATTTCCTGAGAATGTGGGAGTAGGACTTGTTGTTGCAATCTTCCCTGAAAGTACAGGAGATGGGCCAGAGGATTGGATAGCGACAAACGCTCAAGAAAGAGTATCAGAACATTGCTAACTACTACAAATCCAGTCATTTTAACATCGATGTTGGACTGAGGTTTGGAAGCAATAATCAGATAAAAGTATCAGGCATTTGGAGAAGTGAGTTTCTTAAGGAAAGCTAGTGCAGGTTAGTCCTTGGTTAATCTACTGTTTTTGCTGAAATAACAGAGAAAGTTGATGAAGAGAATGCAATGGATATTGTCTGAATTGATTTTAAGAAAACATTTAGACAAAGGCTGGTGATAAAACTGATAAGGGGACCCATGGCAGCTGGTTTAAACCCTGTTGAAAGAAAACAAATGGGTCAGTTTGTAGACAGGAGGATGGTAGACACTGGTGTTCCTCAAGGGTCAGTGCTAGGACCACTACGTTCTACACAAGTGATTTGGATATTGCAATACAAGGTCAAATCTCCAATGATACCAAATATAGAGGTGTGTCAGACAGTGAAGATGATACCAGTTGGTTACAGTGGGACGTGAATGGGCTAGTAGTTGGACAGACAAGCAGCTAATGGATTTTAGTACAGAAAGGTACAAGGTGATTTTGGTAGAAGGAATAGACCGAAGGAATAGACTCAGTGGCAGAGTTTGAAATCGTGTACAGAAACAGCAGGGTCCGGGGGTTGATGTATGTTGTCCTTTTGAGGGTGGGAGGACATTATTGAGAGTGCAGTGAGAAAAGGGCATTGGAGTTTTGGGCTCCCTAAAGGGATTGAGACCAACAGCAAACATGTTGTGCTGAGCCTTTCTGAAGCAGTGCTGGGCCACAGTTAGAGCGTTGAGTCCAGTTCTGGACACCACACTGTGGGGAGGATGTGTGAGGCTGCTCGAGGGGTTATAGGGGAGATTTACCTGCCCAATCCCAGGGTTAAAGGAATTTAACCGCAAAGTTAGGTTTGAAAAATTGGAAATGTTCACCTCGGAACGAAAGAGAATGAGGGGACCTCTCACAGAGGTGTACAAGGTCATAACAAGTTCAGAAAGTCTAGATCAGTAAAAGAATTTAATGCTACAGAGTTCAGGTAACACAGAATTAATCATAGCATGCCTACAGTGTAGATAGAGGCTGTTCGGCCCATTAAGTATCCACCAACCCTCTGAAGAACATCCCACCCAGACCCATCCCCCTACCCTATCCCTGTAATCCTGCATTCCTCATGGCTAACCCACCTAGCCTGCACATCTTTGAACTAATTCATGTTTTGGGGGGTGGGGATGTGATTTTAAAAGAGGAACCTTTCCCTGCAGCACGTTGTAACAATTGGGGTTGGGATGCCCTTGAGGGGGAGGTGCAGGTGAAAACCGTCACTGGTTTCAGAAGGAAAATGGCTGGTCCCTGGAGGAATAAAACATGCAGCAGCTCCAGGGATGGAGTGAGGGGAATGGGACTGACTGGATTGCTCTGGAGAAAGTCAGTGTGCTGAAAGGCCTGCTCTCACATTATGACACGTGTTATTTGAAAGGTACCTAAGAATTGAAACTTTGGGAATTTGTTTTTATTTTGCCTTCCCATTTCATTGATACTGAGACCAATTATAGCACCAGTTCTATTTGCTGAAACTGAGCTTTGCTAATTTATAGACCAGGGGTCAAAACTACTATCTTCCTGGCAGAGCTACTCTGTGAGTAAACCTGCAGGGCTATTGAGATAGGCCTGTTATCTACTGTACAAAGTACTTGCGCACCATTTCTCTACCAGGGGTTTAGTACAAGTTTAGATTATATTCTGATATGCAGTACAGCAGTATGATAAAACAAAGAACTGTCGATGCCAGAAATCTAACAAAACCAGAAAATACGGCAGGAAGGCAGCATCTGTGGAGAGAAAGGAAGTCAGTATGATTCACACTGTGAGTGCCTGTTAACCTTTCAGTTAGAATAAGCGTGTTTGACATTGAATTTGTTGGTAATTCCAATGTTTTGAGTAGGTTGTTAAACATCTTTCGCCTGTGTTTGTTCTTGTGCAGGGTGGTAGATTCTGTGTTCAACTTCCTTTTGGTGTGGTACTACTGTACACTTACAATTCGAGAGAGCATCCTCATCAACAATGGATCCAGGTAAGAGGTCGGTCTCTGGAAAACTCAGCAAAGTTATCTCACTCCTTGGGTGACCATGATGTAGTGGTCATTATCACTGGACTAGCAATCCAGAGACCCAGGCTAAATGCTCAGTGAATATTGGTTTAAATCACACAACAGCAACAGAATTTAAATCCATTAATCAATGGAATTGAAAGCTAGTCTTTGTAATGGTGATTATCACTATAGTAAAACGTCATCTGATTTTCTAATGTCCTTTAGGGAAGGAAATCTGCTATCCTTACCCGTAATGGTCTACGTATATCTCTAGACCCACTGCAATGTGGTCAACTATTAACTGCTCTCAAAGGACATTTCAGGTTATGCGACAAGTTCTGTCCTTGCGTGTGACATCCCACGGACTTTAAATAAAAGCACCAAAGAAAATATTTGCTCTTTAAAAAATCTCTTTCTAACTTTTAGATTTCTAGTTTATCAATGTTGCTGAGTACCTCTGAGTTATCCCTCTGGCTTTTTTCCTAAGCGCATTAGCTTTCTTTAACTCCTTTATAATGTGTAATCCTTATAACTGATGAAATCAAGACCTATTACAGTGTCTCTTCAAACTTACTCTTTCTTTGCACTTTAGAATACTGTACCATTTGAAAAGCACTCTTGTCACTGCCTGATTGTACAGTCATAGTTATACAGCATGGAAACAGATCCTTTGGTCCAACCAGTCCATGCCGAACATAATCCCAAACTAAACTAGTCCCAGAGATAGTAGGAACTGCAGATGCTGGA